GTTTGATGATGCCCTTCGTATTTGTCTATTTTGACATGCAAACAATAAATTTGTCAAGAAAATCATACTCATAAACAATGTAAACCTAGCTATTCCAAAAGCTTTCTCTCATGTCATTCATTCACTTTTAGAATGATCCGCTGGCAAATATCAAACGGATAGACTGTTCTTTGCTGCCACCTTCTTTGCCAGCCCTTATGATGAAAATTCGGCGAACGCAATATGTCACAACAATGTGGACAAGAGCTTTTACCAACTGTCCAGCGGACGATTTGTCACCAACAGATTATGGGTGGTATGTTGATAACACCCTCCTAAAGCCAACCTGGTTTGAAGGCCCTGCCATACCAGATAGTTTGTTTACAGAAAACAGCACGCAAAACATGGAAAGTGAAGACGACAGTGACACTGAATCAGAAGCTGACGATGAGCTAGAGAGTCTGTCAGATGTAGACATATGGAGCGAATATACATGCAGATGCGGGAGAGGAAGACAACGATTGATTGCTATTGACATTAGTTTCGTTGGCCACAATATTCGTACTTAATTTCTAGAATATTTGACACGTTTGAGCCTGATGTTATTCATAATGTAATATTTCCGAGTACATACTCATTAATAATTAATGAGGCTAATTAATGCTAGGTAGTCTGAGGACTGGATCCGAATTATTCACTACACTTGCATTTCAGTAGGTATTCACTATCATCATTTGGCCCAAATAGAGTAGGTAATTTCCTCATGAATTACAGTATTAATGAGTATGGGATTGTTATATATACGTTATTTGGCACGCAAAGAGTAGGCCGGGAGGCCACCACTCAAAATGTCTGGCAGTGGCCATCTTGGTATAATACTGAACATTTTGCACTAAGTTTCATCGGGTTTATCTAGCTCATTTTGGGGGTTCAGTAGATTCAAGGACGTCTGGCGGACCCACCCTGATAAAATTGTCTGTCAGTGGTCATTTATGGCTCCTGACACTATCCTGAACATTTTGCACTAAGTTTCGTCGGGTTTCCTCACCAGCTGATCTAGCTCAATTTTGAGAGTCAGCATTCAAGGACGTCTGGCAAACCCACCCCCTGATTAAAATGTCTGTCAGTGGTCATTTATGACTCCTGGCACTACGCTGAACATTTTGCACTTACTTTCGTCGGGTTTCCTCGCCAGCTGATCTAGCTCAATTTTGGGGTCAGCATTCAAGAACGTCTTGCGAACCCACCCCCCTGATGAAATTGTCTGTCAGTGGTCATTTATGGCTCCTGGCACTATGCTGAACATTTTGCACTAAGTTTTGTTGGGTTACATCACCAGCTGATCTAGCTCATTTTGCGGCTTAGTTTCTCACCCCCCCCTGACCACATCCACCAGTGTGTGTCCGGCAGACGTCCATTTTCTTAGATCACTAGGTACATAGACCAATGCAGTATGCATAAAAATTGGTAACCTTTTCAGCTAAGCTCACACCTCTGGGCTCCCGGTCTAGGAGCAGCTGCAAAAAATGCGACTATCAGCCCTCTGGTAGGGATCGAACCTGCGCCTGTGATTCCGGTGCAGCGCCCTAACCAACTGAGCCACAATGTTCAGCCGCCGTTTGTATACGGAAGCCAAATAGCTCTATGCACCGGATAGCGATCTGTTCCAAGCTTTCTTAAACTGGCTGATGATTGCTATAACGAAATTAAACTTTAATATATAAAATTTAAAAGTTTCTTTTTAGTAATTGAGGGATCCATATTCGTAATTTTATCGCCTTTCAATCATTTTTACAGCGGCTGAGCAAAATCACTATCATGCAGGTGGAAGGCGCTATCCAGCTTTCGTGATGACGCCATTGGCAAGGTTTGACGAATATGGATAAATATGGATAAATCTGAGGCTTTTTTGGCATCTCACTTGATTGGACAATATGTTGACGGGTTTTGTAGATGGAAATATCAAGTGCAAATTTTATACATCTATTTAGACCTAACTAAAGGAACAAAAGATCCTGATCCATACACCTACCATGGCGTCACCTTTGTATATATACATCAACTTGCGGTTAAAGCTCAACAACTGGACTCTGTAGGTGAGTTGGTTAGAGCGATGCACCGGAATCACAGGGCCGCAAGTTCGATTCCTGCACGTGCGCCTGTAGTTGCAGTTTTCGCAACTGCTCCTGATTAGGTCTAGATAAGTTAATAAAATTTACTCTCGAAATTTCCGTCTACAAAACCCCAACATCAGTTCAACCGAGTGAGATGCCCCAAAATCCTGGCATTCCATTCAACTAAGTCATATTTTGACTTCAAATGATCTGAAATATCTTCCAACAGTCCAACATTCGCTTTTAAACCAATCATGTTAGACATATTGGGCTTTTTGAAAAACGACCTGCTGCTGTGTTTTATACGAGGTTAAGACGGCCTGGTATAAAATGTCCGCCGGTTCTAATATTTCTCGGCTAATATAATTAAATTTCCCGACATTATACTGCTATAAGACAGACCTTTAAAACTCCAAGTAAGAAGCGGATATGAGGACCTCTATCAGCAGCGCTTTCGAATGATATTGTTGATCCCACGCTGCTGCATGAACTTCGTATAGATGCCCTAGTGTGTGCACTGCCCCCTGCTTCGAACACACTGTCAGCCATTTGAGACGTCGAGTCATCCACTGCAGGAAAGAAAAAATAATTTATTGTATAGATATTAAGTCTTCCAAATGGATTTACTTATGACAAAACTCCTTTCGCAATGCACAGTAGCAAATCACAAAAGCGATCGAGGATTTCGTCCAATCAAATGATGGAACGATGACGAGTCACTCGCGGTGACCTCGGCTGGAATTTTCATGCATCACGTCTGTCTTGTTATGTAACTTTACCTTCTCATTATTGATAGGTTTTTATTTTTTGGAAAAATGTCTCCACTTTCTAGTAAACTAAAATAACCAACGTTATACTCTTAAGGCGATTTTCCAGTCCTCGCACGAAGCTCCTCGCAGCTTGCTGCGAGTGCATGCATGAGCACTTTCATCCAATCACAATACTTAAGAGTTAATTTTAATTAGATGCAAGCATTCGCAGCGAGCTGAGAGGCGCTTCGTGCGAGGACTGAAAAATCGCCTTAAGAGTATAACATTGGTTATTAATTGAGTTTAGTTTGCTAGAAAGTGGAGACATTTTTCCACAAAAATAAAAACCTATCAATAATGAGAAGGTAAAGTTACATAACAAGACAGACGTGCATGCGCTCTGGTCGACTGGATATTACCTATAACTATATATAATCTTAGATGTAGGTTAGCAAACTTTTCAGTGAAAAAATCCAGAAAACGGCTGATTACGACAAAATACGATTGGTGGGCGCTTAATTAAAACATTTCTTGATCTGCCTGACCCAAAAATACGGATTTTCCACGAAATTGACGCACAAAGATACACGTTTTTAATTATTTGTTGTTTTATAATGAGCGAACAAGGTTTCAGGTATAATCATGTGACCAAAAATAATCCAATACGGTTGGCTAATGTGCTCATGAAATACTCAGTAAATACGCCATTACCGTCTAATGGTGTCCGTTGTTACAAAATTTTCGCTTGCTTAACCATGTCAAGTCCACAAACCTTGGGCATTTGTCCTGACACTTTCAGCTTGTTCTGACGTAACTGTGTCTGTGTCATCTGTATTCCTTTCAGAACGATTATTGTTCTTCTCTGAAACATAGGGAATCATGATATTAGTTACCCGTGAACCACTATAACGCATTGTATGTTTTCATGGAGATTAATGTATTTGATTACGAAAATAGAAGACTCTGGCAACACGCGAGAGAATTAAAATTATGAGTGGTTCAAGTAAAAACGAAACGTTATGTACAGTATACGGAACATGACTTTTTCAATATTTTATAAGTAACATAATGTCAACTAATGCATAAGTTAAAAGAAGTCATTCTACGTAGTACATTGCGAGAATGATTTTTTTTAACATATGTATTAGTTGACATTATGTTGGTAATGAAATAGTAGAAAAGTCATGTTCCGTATACTGTACATAACTTTCGTTTTTACTTCAACCACGCACAATTATACGTTAATAGTTCCTACCCTCGATTGCGAAAAGTCCATCCTGCATGAGAATGCAAAAGTTGACTATGTTGAAACGGGGCAGTTTTCAACGTTTTCATTGGGAAATCTACTGGGACCCCGCTCCCAAATTGCCTAGGTTCCAGTCTTCTCATGCGAAAAAGCGTGGAAATCTAAATAGAAGGCGATAGGTGTAAGCTCTCTTACCACTTCTTAATGAACTCCTGTTATGTAACAAGCTCTCATTCCGAGCTACACTGCCAAAACTTCGTCCAGCCTCGACAGGGTTCACCACACGTTGTTTAGCGAAGACTCTATCCATGAGAGAATGTGCAAGTTGAAACCACATCGCTGTCATTTGACAATGTCTGCACGGTCCAGTAGGATCGTGAGTGCCGACCCATGGAACGTCCAACATGTATTCAAGAAGACGTTTGATACCTTGTCGTTCTAGCGCGTTGGAAACTCTTTCTTCTCCTTGGTATTGCAGTTTGATCTAAAGACGAGAAAAGAACACAGGGGGGGATAAAACTAGATCTAGGATCCTGATATAATTTTTGTGACTAACGCGTATGCTTGTCGTGTAGTCACAAAATTATCTGGGCAACATTTAGGTAAAGCGACAAAATATCTAAATTATATTCCATTTGCGAAAAGCGCGTCGTTTACCACATGACAAACTACGTACATGCAGGCACGTTTTATTTGTTGAACTTCATTAATGTACTAAATAATAGAACAAACCTGACAGTTATTACTTGTGAATTTAATATATATGTCATATTAAATACATCTATAAGCAGTACTTCGACGTTTCGTTAAATAAATATATATTTATATATACACCCATGTAACATAGCTCCCTTGCAAACACATCTTGGACAGGTACAAGTCACTGAGAACAATGCCATTTCACTGAATTACCAAGAAAACTTAGAAGAAAAATGTCCCTACAACTTTTGAGGTATAAGCCGTTAACATTTTACGATAAGTAGTTTCTAATTCTAAATGTAATTGCACTTGTCCCCCGACATATAGCATGTGTCAATGGGGCGGCCATGATGCATAATAGAATTTCATGATTATGGAATATGGGGTGTTTGGCTTTTAGCTTCACATATATTTTGGTGTTGTCAGTGCATAGCGGTGGTACAGGATTTCTTTTGGGGGCGCTAAGTCGGGTGCCGTAGTTTTCAGCTAAGTGAAAAGACGCAAAACATGATCCAGCTATAGAGCTGTGGTTCGAAGGCCACGATTCACATCAGTATAGCGTAGGAAGATATTTACATTTATATAGAAAGGCTGAAAAGTGTATAGGGAGTCCGGGGGCATGCATGCATACTCCCCTGCAAAATATCGAGGCTCGCTGCTCGCACAATTATGTGCCATGCACACTTATCAGTCAAGTATTTTTACTACCTGACATGTAAACTGATAAACGAGCAGCAGCCTCTGCCAGAGGCAACCTATAACTCGAAGTTTCTATATTTCTATAGTCACAGTTTGACTGCCATCATTTTGGCAACACTGTCTTCCATCAACATATCAATGTTCAGCAGTCAACCACAAGTCAGCATAAAAGTTGAGCGAAACAAAGAGTTTAACGAATCCTGCCTCTTTGCAACGTTCAAGATAAAAAGTGGAAACATAGCAGATTGTCTGGAGCACTGTCTAGAGAACTGTCGGTGTCAGTCGTTTCAAATTTGTACACTGTAAAAACTGATAGGTTAAAACAACCTATTTCTAAAGGTTACAACCAATAATTAAAGGTTGTTTTAACCAATTGAATGGGTTAGAACCGATTTAAATTAGTTAAAATAACCTATTATTATCAGGTCAAATTTTGCGACCAATAAAAATAGGTTAATTTAACCAATCTTTTTGGTTAAGCAAATTTACCGATTGGTTATTATTCCCAAATAGGTCATTATAACCATTATGATTAGGTCAAAATACTGAAAACTAAACTAACCTATATGAAATATGTTGAAATATTTAGTTCGACTTATGACATATACTTTCAATTTCAAGGAGTTATTCTCACTTCACTCAGTTAAAAGCCATTTGTTAAATCGTATTGTAGAAGTGAAATAGTGAGTAATTTTCCACCAAGTTTTTACTCGGCCTGTGTATTATAACTCGACCATTACACATAGGAATGACAAAAACTATATTCAACTGAGTTTCTTCAACCTAGAATTAGGGCGATATTTTCTATACCAATTCGTAGTGAAGGACTGCAGTTCGTGTAAAATCAACCCAAGATTTAATTCAGCTGGTTGACGCGCCGTTTTTCTCGAATATTGCCAAGTCAGATTCTTGTAGTTGTATTACAAGTATATCGGACCATATCGGCTTCTTATTGTTCGATCGCACACGACGATCGAATGTAGCCAGAAATTGTCAGCGAGTTTTTCTTGTCAAATTGATTTAACACCAGCATTGCTCTCATCTATATTTTTTGCTGCGTAAATCTCTATTAGTACCCGCGTTTGTCAGAGATTCTGTAATTTGAACTTGTGGAATGTTTTGCTTGCTGAATATAATTTTCAACAAGTGGAAATTCCAAACTTTCAACCAATTAACATGCTTAGAATATATCACGTGTTGTAGTAATTCGATCTGTATGACACAATGACAACAAGCGCCAAGTTCGATCTTCTGAGAGCAAGCATTCAAAGGAGAAGGTTTTTATTCAAATTTTCTATTATAAAGTTCGAAAGACCTAGTAAAATACATGGAATTTGAAAGGTATGTCTATTGTGTATTTATTCATTTGTATGCGGATAGTTACTTGACTTACTGTAGTTATATTTTTATTCAAATCGAAGGCCTGTATTTTATATTAGTCGCTTCGCCAATCGCCGCCGATTCACTGAAGGCATAGAATAAAGATCCATATAGAAGGGCCACTCAGGGGTGCAACGTGTCCTCGTTTTTTTATGCAAAAATATGCAGTTTACTGGCCAGAAGGCGGAGCAGCCAGCCAGTACAGCGTGTTTATTGGCCAGAAAATGTCATTGACTGGCTAGGAAAATGGCGGCCAACATGCGTAATGCGACATGCGCGAGGACAGAAACTTCAAAGCTTCCGACGTAAGTGGCCCTTCTATATGGATCTTTATTCTATGCTGAAGGCATCTGGACGTTCAGTTGTAAATTTTCGATTAATTTCTATTAGCAGAAGTCTATAAGTCTAATCTACAGTCTCCACGTATATGTGTTGTTAAGAAAATCGTATAGCTTATTTGTGTGATATGCATTTGTATGTTGTAATTTTCTGTTAAATATTTGCTATAAAGAAGATGCTTGTGATGTTACTTAGGGCTAGTGTATGTATATCCACACTGGGCAAGCTTGAAAAATATGCCTGTCCATGGTAGGAATCGAACCTACGAGCTTTGGAATACTAGCCCAATGCTCTGCCAACTGAGCTACGTGGTCAGGTCGGTTCGAGTATGTGATATTTCGGAACAGAATCTAGTTCCTTTGATACCAATGTAATTTAGTAGTCATGATATT